AAATGAGGAAGTAGATGTACAAACTACTCAAGGAATTTTTTATTTTTAAATAAACTGTGGCCCCACGGGATCGGGGAGGGGGTGAGCGCCTCCCACGTTGAAAACCATTGAAGTGAAAGATTTTTTCAAAAATCCAGTGGCGCAACAGGCATATGGTGTTGAGAGGTGGACGAAGTGCATGGGAGATTCATTGCAAAAGCGAATGGATGTCACTGAGTACAACAAAACCTGGCATATAATATCACGTCTGGTTTGAGAATGAAGGTGGAAGCAGTCACTGTTGACTTCCGCTGGCTTGAGAATCAGCTGTACACAGGGGACGTAACTGCAACTGACTCACAATGCATGTTGAGAAAGGTGGAGACAGGCATGTTTTGTTTAGAGTGGCAAGCATGACTTAGGAGGTCCCGGGTAGTTAGCATCCTTCTGATATTTTCTGCAGGGTATTCTGGTATGTTGGAAAACAAGCAGTCGGATAGATTGGCCGGTTCTGCATCACTTGGTGGTGAACTGATGTACGACAAGCTAGAGGGCCCTTTGGGAATAAGTGAACAGTGCAGAGGCACTAACAGATAATTTTGGTCTGAGGAGAATGACGCTGCAAGGAGTTACCAGGGGATCTGGCTGACGATATACATTCAAGGGAAAGGCGAGGCGGATATACAATCAAACAGTTACATGTGCCATCAGAGTTGGAACTCTTCGCTTGCTGCTGAAGATGGGGATGAAGCACTTATGGAGGTGTCCCAAGTGCTGTGATGTCAATTCTTACTCAACACTGGCCACTTGTTCTGCTACCCATGCAAGTGCTCTGAAAGCAGCAGTTAACTCCATGGTCATGCCTTACGTGTGTGTCAGGTGTGCGCTACTCATCATCATCATTATGTAGCAGGTCCTTTGCAGAACGTCGCTCTCATCACTGTCTGTGTGAAAGAAACTCGGTCTCTTGCTAGCTCTCCCGCCTCATGTACTTTCATACTCAAAGAGTCACTTATATCCTGTGCCCATCTTCGTGTTGGTTGGCCCATGCCCCCTCCTTCCTGGTACCATGCTTTCTGGTATTTTTTTCAGTCCGTCGTGGCGCTTGATATGTCTAAAATATTTCAGCTTCAGAAATATTTTATACAAATAAAAATTTACATTAAGCGCCACTAACCTCCCTTATTGTTGTGTCCACCCTTAGCATTTAGCCACTATACCACAGCAACACATTTGTATTATTAAGCTTTTAAACAAGGCTTGGGTCCTCAAAAAACTTGTAAGGGGCAGAGAAGCTGCCCAATGGTTTATATGTGGCTGCGCTCCAGTAAGCACTCGTAGAATAGCATGAATACGTAATAACAAAAGCACTCGTAGAATTGCATGAATACGTAACAACAAAAGCACTCGTTATGTGGTAAGTTTTCACCTCTGATATTTTATTTATTCTGCTAGTTTTTACATGTCAAATAAAAATATCACCACTTTATGCTGAAATAATCCCACAGGCATCAGTGAGTGCCAAAACACTAAATCAACGAAATCTCAAATCCCAGTTCACAGTAAAGGTTCCCCCACCCCCCTACCCCACCTACAGGCGCATTGGGCACACATGGCTTGACTTATATTTTATAGACAAATCTCAACTCAGTGGGTGATGTGATCAACATCATACCGGCCACCTTTACTTCCCAGGACTTTTACTTGGTATCCTTTTAAGGCTGGGTCGGCCTGGCAGCCAACGTCATAAAAAAAAGTCAAGCTCTGTTCAGATCTGAACCCACAGCCTTCGGATCCACAAGCGAGTGTCTAGCTGCTACACCTTGACGGCTTCCCCAGTTTACAGTACATAAACACAAGAAAGCAGATTTAGACAAGTGCTGATAGCTAGTAAGACAAAGATCAAAAATCAAATATTTTATCACATTATTTACAAAGGTTAAAAAAAAATAATCAAGCGCATGATGTCTCCAAGCATCTCTGTGATTGCCCTTCTCTTTCAAGCTGTTGACTGGAAGTACTTATAGGTATACCTGTTCAGATATGACCCGTCTTCAGGCATCTCTGTGATTGTCCTTTTCTTTCAAGCTGTTGACTGAGAACTTATAGGTATACCTGTTCATATATCACCCGTCTCCAAGCATCTCTGTGATTGCCCTTCTCTTCCAAGCTGGTGACTGTGAGTACTTACAGATATACCTGTTCAGATATCACCCGTCTCCAAGCATCTCTGTGATTGCCCTTCTCTTTCAAGCTGTTGACTGTGAGTACTTATAGGTATACCTGTTATCTCTTCACAGTCTTCTTGGTGTGTCTCATGGTCTACTCCCAATAGATTTTTGTTTATGCAGTTTTTCTCTCTGCCATTTACTCTAATGCAGTCTATTAAACGTACACACAGACTATCATACATGCTAAGTTACAGAGGTGAGATGACCATCACTCTTCTTCAACATATATTATTATTAATAGGCTAGGCCCAAGACCTAGAACAATAATGATTTAAAGCAAATTGTGCCACTACAGAGGATTCCTGGCAGCCATGTTGCTCGGCCATTTGTACATCATGCTTCTGCAGCTTACTGATTCTTCTTTTTCTCCCCATTCACCGACTGTAAACTCCAGCGGAAAGTTCTGGTTGCTCAACTACTTCTGGACTCAGTCCTGTTCCAGAAACGGAGTGTTGTGTGCACATCTGTTTGACAGGTCTAACTAATTTGCATGCAGGCTGTTGGTTCGTTAACTCTCAGGCAGATGTACTCTGACTTCGAAGGAAGACGACTCCTACAACATGGGAGGTAGTGAGTCTTTATGTGTTCTCCCCACAATGGGACCCCGGAACCCACACTAGGAGCTTACTGATTCAAACTCATTAGAGGCTGACACCAGGTGCTCTTACAGCAGTGTTTATGAACATTTTCACACCCGCGGCACACCAAAACACATAAAACATGATTCAAAGTGCAAGAAACCCCCATCTATATTCTCAAGATGCTTCAGAAATTCTGCTACTGAATACAGACACAGACAAAGGCCTTACTGTAAAATAACATGCCTAAAGGACCTTAATCTACACTAAGCAAAAAAAAAAATGCATCTGTTAATCGGAAAAAAAATTATTAAAAACAAATCCTCTCCGACAAACAAGTCTGTGATACAGAGTTATGATGAATATATGGCTGTCTGAGTAGAAAACAAGTAAGGAGGCAACATTAGAAGTGTTCGTCTGAAACTGCTGGTCAATGCATGTGTAGCTTGCTGTAGATTGAGTTAAAAGAACAGAAATAAATATTTGACTTTGTCTGTACGTTTCCCTTATGGCATCCGCACCACAGCTGAAGTGCTCCTGGGAGAGAGTTTACATGCCAAGGAATGTAGGTTGCTCGCCCAAGAGTCACCACATAGTGCATATGCTAGCAATTAAATACATTCATAAAACCCAAGCTCTGCCAAGAATCAAATGCAATACTGAATATGTCAGAGGCAATCATTCTGACCTCTTAGCACAGGCGTACGAGTCAAACCCGAGAGGCTGAGATTAGACAATGGTTCAGTTTCTTGACCAGGCAATGGCAATTCAAAATGAGACTTCATCAAGTGCAAATTCAGGTGGTACTGGGGATCTTGTCTATTCATAACCTCTGGTTGTGATACTTTCTTATTCTTCTCTAGTCCTGTTCTGCCTTTGAGCATCGCGTTTTGAAATGGAATCAGGAGTAAACCTTGCTATGTGCTATGTAGGTGCTGGTATTTATGGCCTCAATTATTCAATTTATCCATCGCTTCAACATGTGGTGTACTGTCTTGTGGTAGTCTAACACATGTATGAACAATCTGATCTATTTTCTGTAAATGTCACCATCATCACGTGGCATGCAGATTAGCCAAGGCATTTATGTATCTTCCCAGATTTCTGTCCCTGGTTCTCTGAATCAGTTCCGCTGATGATATTCCTCCATGCCACCATTGCAGTCCATTCATCATCATCTCTCTTAGTCTGCCTCTCCCTCTTCTACCGGTGATCTTCCCAGTTGTTACAACATTCTCCATAAACTTCTCCTTCATCGTATGACAAAAAAACAGTGCTTGTTTTTTCTTTATTATAGCTGTATTGTTTTTTTATATATCCAGAAACCATGAATTCTTAACCCTTTGTCTCGGTACTATGGATACTGCAACCCTTCAGCCTTGTTTTCATGATAAATACTGTGAATCTGGGAGAAACGTGGCTTTTCTGCCTACCCCCAGGCTTGAACCCGGACCACAAGGAGTTCGTCATCAAGTCAGGTTTAGCCAACTACGCTAGCGAGCCGGGCTTGTAGCTATATATATTGATCTGATTTTATTAGCTTCCTTCACATAATACTCAGTTACTCTGGCAGTCCAAGGGATTCTTAATATATGTCTGAAAAACCCACATCCGCGCCTCCAAAGTCTAATTTTTGCATTCACATTCCATGATTCACTACCATACAGCAATATAGGTTCTACAAAACACTTTAATACTCTCTTTCGGACATCTAAAGAGAGTGACCTGTTGCACAAGATGTTCTTCTTTCTGTAAAATGCAGCATTAGCCTAGCCTATTCTGCTCTTAATTTCTGACATTCTTCTTCCGTCTGACTGTATCCAGATATTTGAATTTGTTGACGGATTACCTTTTTAACCTTCTATTCGAATACCACACTGTGATGAACTTCTTTTCTTTCATACAACCATTACCTCCATTTTCTTTATATTCAAGGACCGACCCTTTTTCACTCCCCCTCACTACAATGTCCACTAATTGTTGCAGATCATTTTCATTTTCATTATTTTATGATGATGATCTCTAAATGTAGTTTAGTACTGGTTCTGTCCCATCATACATTTAGCATTCCTCATGAAACAAGACATCTCTTATCTATTCTAAGTAACAATAAGAGGTAATGTATATTAACAAGCAGGACCGACATATAAATAAATCCCCAGTGGTGTACTCTGACACAACAGCATGAAGATGACGATGGCCTCCTCACTGGTTAGTCTGAAAGTAGCACAAAGCATACATATTTAACTATAAAGTCTGTGCTGTTAGTGACAATAATATCATCATTATCAACACTGGGGTTCCCCGTGTGGGTTCTGGGGGCTCATTTTTGTGGGAGGAAAAAAAGCATTCTCCTAACAAGTAAAGGACCCTTTTCTATGCCTTTAGACAAACCTTTCCCGAAAATTGTAAGATGTCACACATGTATATCCATTAACTCTTTCTGTCCCAAGAAACCCACCATACATTCATATGTTCCTATCTAGAAGCCCAGTAAACGCAGGATGTGCAGATTTTATGCCTCTCTTTACTACACTTTAGGCCTCTGGTGCTTAACCCCATGGGACCGAAAGAGTTAAATACTTCTTCTATTATAGTCTGAAATCCTAGCAACCATTCTCAATGACTGTGTATAAGTGAAAAAGTAAAGGACCTTTTACGTGCTAGTAGTGCTGCAGAAAGAAACCGAACACAATGAGCTGTGGAGAGGAGACACCGGAGAGTAAAACTGCCTCACAACGAGGGAGTATCTGCTTTTGTGTGTATCCTGTGTGGCAAAGACTGCCATTCCCGCATCGGACTTTACAGTCACAGCAGATGCTGTTCCCAAAGCCAGCGGCACATCTCCATAGTCCCCCGGGACTGACGGATGCCATTGAGCCATTGAGTGCTGCAGGCATGTGTGCTAAACTCATTTATTTATTCTTCTTCTGTCACTTCACTTGAAATAGATTATCTAAATTTGCAATGTTGTTTCTAGTATGAACTTTGCCGTCTGTTGTAATTTAATCAGTGACCTGTAAAGTTTGGCTTGCACCGGTGTTTCTCTTGGCCAAAAGTTTTGCCTTAATATGTTGCATTTGGGACCGTCTTGGAGGACGTGATCTGTTGTCTCAGGTGCCAATGCATATGTACACATGGCCAATTCACCAATCTTAAATTATGTCTACATGTGGCTGCAGAGTCTATTGTGTCCTGTTCTAAGGTTAAAAATAATGACTTGCTCTGGTCTATCCATTATATACAGTAATCGTAATGTGCCAGTTTTTTTCCCCATATAAAACTTTAACTTTTCGCCAGTATACTGGCGAATGAATTTATCACTAATGGCCTAATCACCATTATACTGGCATATCAAAGAGACACTCTAATTCTGTTCTGGTGAAAACAAACTTTTATGAACAAGTTTTTGAACAATTAGGATTAGCAATAGGAAGTCCTTTCGTTTGCAAAGTTCATCGTGGTCGGTGTATTATTTTGTATTGAAAAAATTTTTTTTTAGAAGAGATACAATTTTTACATGTTTTTTCTATACTAAATGATAAGGAAAATCGTCTAGAACTGTTCGCACTGCTCTGTCGTTGATGAATCTCTGTCAGATGGTGACAACAGTCTCGATATTTGATTGATATCTAAGTGATAAACCTATTGGCGATAATTTAGGATATGAAAATTGAACAAAATATTTCAATTAGATCAATGTTTCGATCAGCTGTTTCTCCCAATTTTCGGTTGTTGTGAAATTTGACATGTCATACAAAGATGATCATAACATCCAAAGTATTTAAATGAATTGTTTCAAATAAAGACTAGCTAATATATAATTGAACTGAGAAGGCGTGTGAATCTTACAATTGGATAGCAGAGATGGTGAACAAGTAAAAAAGTAAGGCAAGCACAACATTTTTTTATGTCAATAATTTTCATATGTGTCTAACATCCTTGAATGTTGTGTGATTTTAATAATATTTTGTTGTAATACTTCTTCTTCTTCTTTACGTTCACCAGCTGTAAACTCCAGCGGAAAGTTCTGGTTGTTCGTCCACTTCTGGACAGCAGTCCTGTTCCAGAACCTGAGTGTTGCGTGTGCATCCGTTTTACAGATCTGACTCATTTGTATGCAGAATGCTGGTTCCTTGCCTCTAAGGCAGATGCACTTCGAAGAAAGCTCCGAATTAGTTGAATCTTGAGCGCATTTGTTTTTGTTTTCATGAGTAGTTTGTACATCTACCATTTAATTGCATTTAATTACAAAATTATACCACTTTCTAACCAAAATGTATCTCCATAATTTCCATTTCCCTTGTGGAATTCTATTTACCTCCTCTTTTTACTCACATTTTGTTATAGAGGGTGGGGGGTATCTTGCCATATATAGGGATCTGGCTATATACTTGGGGGGTGGGGGTAGAGGTCCTGCCAAATACTCAAGGTGGGCGCCATCTGAAAAAGGTCGCAGACCACTAGCATAGACCAGTCAGCATTCACAGATGATGTGGTCAACCATACAATACCAACTTTTTTTTTGCACCTTCCCCTCTTTCCAGACGATAGTGTTATATTATGCAATGAGGATACATGGGATTCACAGCCAATGGCGTTCACGAGTGTGACTAGAGAGACTGGCCCGTGGTAAGGTAAGAAAAGTCTTGCATAATTAGCGCGCAGGATTTCAGGACCGTTTTTGTCATCATTTGTATTTAGTGTGTGTCTTCTCTAACGCTCAGCTCTTATCCTTTCTTCATTCTGATTTGCCCCTCCACGGATCTACCTCAAAAACTGTTATCTTTCATGTCTTGCCTGTGCACATCTGAGGCTGGCCTCAATATCTCCCTCCCATCAACTGTCAACTTTACTTCCCATGATTTTTCCAGACAGCCACTTAAGGCTGAGCCAACCTGGGAGCAAGTCAATCATTAACTGCAAGATGCAGACTCGATCCAAAGACTTCCGGGCCAGCAGATAAGTATCTAGCTACTGTGCTACTACGGCTCTTCAGCATTCCAAACCCTTGAGATTCAATCAATAAATCTGGTGCTATATCCACAATGAAGGTTGGCTGAAACACACTATACATCTTATCTTGGTTGCATAGTTTCTCAAATTGCTGTTCATCCATCTCTTGATATTGTCCTTCCACTCGTATCATTGTCTACTTCTTGCTCTCTTGCCCTCAACTTTTCCCTCCAGTATGGTTTTTAACCCTTTCGCTGCTATGGACGTCTTTTCCCGATTTCCTGTACGCTGCTACGCCCGTCTTTGGACGTTATTTTTTTTCTTGACCCCCAGTGCTATGGACGTCCTAAGCCGTTTTTGGACTTTTCTTACAGATTTCTGTTACCTCGTATTTTATTGGCTGAAGGGCAATATACATTAGCTATATTTATATTAAACTGACCCATTTACATATGATTAAAAGCACTGGCACGTGCTTTTAGGTGTGTTTAAGGCGTGTTTTCTGCATTTTGCGTTATCCCGTTGCTTTGTTTACCGTGACAGCGTGGTCGGTGATCTATGTATTTTGTGCCCTGATATATATTTGTGCTTTTGGATTATTCTACACTTAGTACAAAATGGCAAGAAGACTTGTTAAAGTTGATGAAGAATTGATGGAGTTTCTGTCAAAAGTGATAGCGACGATGACTTTGAAATGTGTACTTCTGACAGTGAACAAGAAGATTTGACAGTATCGACTGCTGAAACCGGCGTGTCCAAAAAAAGCTGTTTGCCTGTCCGACGTCCTCATCGTCGGAATCAGAGAGCAGCGACAATGAAGCGCCATCAAAACGGCAATAAATTGATCAGTTATCTTGATAAACCGATGATTTGAAACCAGTAGTGCATGATTTTAATGACTCCAGCTCTATCTGTATTTCTGCTACTGTAAATTCAAACAGTTAAGTCACTAAAATTTCTCATCTTTCCCGATGGACAGACACAGATTCGGACGAACTAATTTTTTTTTATGTCTGTCTGCTTATGCTTAGAACAAAGAAACTCAAAATAGAGTACTTGAGCAAAGACTGTTTGCTAAAAACTCCCGTAAAAAAATGTCGAGGGACATATTTTTACTATTGTTGAGAATCTCAAACATTTCTTAGACAACAGTGCTCATGCGGGCGGCGATAGACTACAAACTTAGACACATTATTGATAGTCTGCGCACATCGTTCATTATGATCATTTACACAGCGCAATGCGTCAAGCGTCAAGTATAGTGAAATTGGTATCACGTTCGCCTCAGGATCGGAGGGTCGTGTGTTCAACCCCTGAAGTTTTTTTTTTTTTTTATTAATTGTAAATTTTCCTTTGAGTTCCTGCTACTTTTCAGCAACGGACGACTTGAGTATATTATTATGAATATTTTTTTTTATTATTATTTTGGTATGTAATAACATGGTGACTACAAGTAAATATGATTAAAGTGGCAGCCGTGGTAGGTTCGTCAATCAAATTTTGGGATAGGGACTGGGAACAGTTCCTCCCATTAATCCCCCTCCCCCGTTAGTCAAGTTTGTGGGGCACCATCGTGCCTCTGACTTGTCACCACTCGGACCAACCACACAACTCCCCAGGGTAAAATTTTTTAGGTGAACAAAACATAGCCCTCACCGCGGACGCATCTTTTGCGTTTAGAGGATAGAAAAGTATTGCGCACAGCAGAGACTTTTTTTTTCACATTGCTTAGCACAGGGAGGACAACTATTTCCGGGAACGTAGCAGCGAAAGGGTTAAAAGAAAAAGAACCTAGAAGTTCACTACTGTAGATATCACCCACATTTATCACCTCTGTGATTATGTCTATCTTTCCAGTTAGCGACTCCAGTTAGTAATTGCAGATCTGCCTTTATATTATCTCTCCACTGTCTTCTTGGTCTGCCTCATAGTCTATTCTCATTACAAGTCTTTTGTGTACACAGTTGTTATCTGTTTATCTGCCAATCATTTTCTCTATACATACATCGATGTTAAACTTCAATTATTATGATTTTTATTAATCTAAATGATAAACACATCAATCAATACATTGCTGAAAAGAACACAATAATACACATAGGGAGAAAATGAAAAAAAGTATATCAAAACAACATGCCTGGAGACAGTTAAAAAAGTGATTTAATTCCACAGCCAAAGCAGAAACAAAACCAGGGAAAGGAAAAATAAATACAGACAATATCTTAGACAAAAAACACTCTAAAAGATATTTACCATGTGTT